GTAAGAATTGACTAGCCCCCCTGCCCCCATGTAGCCTGGACTAATAGCAGCTGCAAACGGACTAAGAACAAACACCCGAAGGGTGGCTGTTATCTGTCACTAACCGCCCTGGGAGCTAACTACCAAAAACCACCCCCCCCCGCCTCCCGCAAAATTCGCAACCCCCATTAACTCTGTTTGTCACCTACCTATAAGTACTGTGAGGCGCAGTGCGACACTTACCTCCGACGACGGAACTGTTTCTGTTTTTGAAACGTCAGGAAATTACAATTATGATTCCCGAGATCGCTCTTTCTTCTTATTTATGCACGGGGACTCGCATATTTGCTTCTATCGGCAATATATATAGTTCTTTGAAGTTAGCTTAGCAATTATGGTTGATGAATATCACGGTGAGGTGTGTACATTCCCCATTGCTTCTTGGAAATCAGTTATGTAGACCTGCGAATTTACTACCTAAAAGAACTATTCATACACAAAATGAATACGGACTAGGAAGGAGATTGCGATTAGTTTTTTGGTTCAAATTACGGCTTCGCCAAATAAGACGGGGCTGGCAATTTTCCTCCCGCATTTGCACAATTTGCAACGAAAGTAATTAAGTCTTACCCATCAAGGTGTATAATCAACGGACAGCACTGTTGCGCAATCATGGTGAGAAATTGTGGACACGTGCTCTTCATGGGCGTAGTTGCAGCAATAAAGTCGGGAACCGTGCCGAAATCGGGGACAATTGCAAAGCTGTCTGTCCGGTGGTATTCGCATCGGTTCACATAACTGGCATCCACGTAGACATCGGCATAGAGATTGGCCTGAGGACAGGGCAGAGCGGTCAATAGTTTAAATGCATAGTTGCTGTTGGCAACTGTGAGCCACTATGGGGGAATGTGAGTTAAACCTACCTGCGGGAGAACAGTCCATGGGGCGACTCGGTACTCGGCCCAACTGCGGTCCAGCACAACCACCGTCTGGTCGTCTGTAAACGAGCAATTATTTTTTAAATATTTATCTCATACGGGATATGTTGTGTCTGGGTAAATAAAAAACGGTGTTCCGGATCGCAAAATAGGGAAAAGACCTCCCTTATTAGACCCGCTTGGTAAATCTTGATAACAGACAGCTACGTGGGGAGTTAATCCAGGCATTTCGCATGCTGCGTGGTCAGGATTGTTGCCTCGAATCAAATGACTTCTTTGAGCAGGCCACCACCTCTAGGCGGCGAGGACACCCTCTCAAAGTACGTGTGACTGGGGCGAGACGACGAAAGAAAACTTTTTTTCTCTGAGAGAGTAATTCAGACATAAAATCAATTCCTTCGGACAATGTCATGTCTCAGTCCGTGGAAAACTTTCAGACAAAACTTGACCAGCACCGCCTTACGTCCCACTATGGCAACTGAAATCTCCGAAATCAAACACTTAACGGTCATAAATGCTATAGATATATACGAACAGTATTCTTCAGTAGTATTACTATTATGTACTCAAAATATGTTTTAGCCTTACTTAGCCATGTCCGACTCCTCTTCTCACTATACGAACTACGCTGATCGCGTATGGAGTCGCATCTACCACACCTATGGTCCAAGGGCACGCGGCCTTGTCACGCTCTTTCCCGTATCGATCTAAAAGCCGACCTTTGACGACGTGGCGGGTTCCTATGCTCTTATCACAGCAAGGGCGTATCATGGTCGCATCTCCGGTTCTTGGGAACGTTCTCGTGACTCGGAGGTCTCCTCCTCGTGTGGCCCTTCGGAGGTTGATGTTACTCGTCATGGACCCCATGGGTGCCGCCAACATTCACAGCAGTATGCTGATCCTATCTTTCACATTCTTCTTACCACCAGCGACAGTTTTTCTCCTAAAAACCACAAATGACATCCCATTTTGAATTATGAGCCATGCCTTAGGATTTTTTCATTTTCTGCAAGTTTCGTCCTCTGGTTCGCATGGGCATA